AGACGGATATGTATCAGTCTTTCTGTAAATTTTGTTCGAACAAAGACAGATGATAGACGTTTACATCAGAGTCACAAATACTAATTTCATTTTACAACTGAAATATATCAAACGTTCATTTTCTCTTACTTTGATTCGTCCATTCATTGGTTCTCTCTTTTATTCGGTTATTTCCTCACCTACCTAGATTTGATCCATCTCTTCATATCTACCGTTAAAAACAGAATGTTTTCCAACAGCAGTCGAAAACAATTACTATTGTGTTTTAAAACAGATGAACAACGGTGCTAAAGATCAATGAGTTAATTTTATCGATGACATTTTTCATAACTCAAGTCATTGCATATATACCGGCGACGTTTTAAAAGAGTTACTGAAGGACCTAATGATAACTTGACATCTCCAGCCGGTAAACAAAGCTTTTTAGTTGAAAAATGCAACAGAAAATTCTTAGCCGTACGTCGGGTACGGGTCGAATATGGATACTAAGTTCACGAGTCGGGTAGGGGCGCAAAAACGTTTTCGAGTCGGAAAGTACTTGTACTTTTACTCGTGTACTTGTACTATGAGTTATTACACTTGCTTTAATTTATTTCGATTAGCTTTTTAGTTTGATTTTACTTTCAATTTTATTCGATTGCGATTATGAGAATTTATTATTGAACTATCTTTTATTATTTCATTAACTACATATTAGGCGCCCTTCTTTTCATCACTCATAATAAGTGTACATTTTAACGTTGCCTGTTTTTGAGAGATTCGCTCCTATACTCAACTGACTGACACCCTATACGTGTTCGAAGTGTGTGCGAACGTCTGTCTATATCGCAACTTGTGGGCAGCACAATTGCCTTCTGTGTACTATTTTGTTCAGTTGCTTTTTCTGCTAAATGTGCAGTGTTGCAAAACTTTACCAACGAGAATTTTGTCAACAGCTTAATTGGTTTTCTTAGTTCCTTACAACAACTTTTCGGTTTATTGGCAAAATTTTTTTTCAAAAAATACTTTAATTAATTAGTAATTAAGAATAAATTTAAAAAAGAACTTTGCCATCAGTTTCAAAAATAAAAAAGAACCTATTTCAAACATGACAGAAAAATGTTGTCTATTTAATACACATATTTTACTTAAAAAGTACTTTGCCAACAAGCTAATTAATTATCCTGGCAAAGTTCTTTTTTTATTAACTAAAAAATTAACAAAAACGAACTTTGCCGATATATTGGCAAACACTGTTGGCAAAGTCCGTCCACCCAGTGTACATCTTATGATCTAGAAAACTACGTACCGTAGAACATTTTTAAACCGGAAAATTGTTCTCCAGATCCTCGACCTTGACTAATGCTCGTTCTTCTGTGGAATAGTGGCCAATATTCGGCGCCATAATCTCCAGAGGTGGAGGTAGAATGTATTCTGGACTTAGAAAATTTTTCAAATGATTTCATGTGGCGTAATAATTATTCAAAAAAGTAAGATGCTCCAAATTCGAAGAATAAGCACTTGTTTTGCTTGATAATTTTTTATTGAACAATTATATTAATTGAGATTGTCGGATATATTTTGAGAAAAAGACTCATAATAAAAGATGACACACTTTTCTCTTTAATCTAAGACGTTCAGAAACAAAATGTAAAAAAATCGTTATGAAATTTCGATTCGGTGGAAGAGTTAGCTGGCGAGACCGATATCCGGATTTATTCCTTCATCCACTTTGATCCATATTTCTAATTATTTCTTTTCTTCTTCGACCTTCTATATCTGTGCGCAAGTAACCGTTGTTTTTTTTCTGTTTATTTTCGTTTTTATAGAAAAACAAAAACAGATGAATCAATGCAGAATGCAAAATAAAGAGAAATATTTGTACATAGCAACGCTTACGTTTTTTAGCCTATTTGCTAAAAAATAATAAGAAAGCAGTAAATATCGAATTAAAAAAAATACAGATAGAGGGATGGACGAGACAGAATAATAACAGCAGCTAACAAAAAGAAAATCTTTCATTTTACGTTTGTCGAATAATTACTACAGCTTAAAAGCAAAAAAAACAATAATTATTCATACGGATATCAAAGAAAATGACAATTTATTTGCATCTATTTTTGTTGTTTTTTCTCTAGTCTACGATTGACGTTCAAAACATCGTTCAACATTAACATTCACTTTTTCACGTTGTTCTAATGGTTTACTTTCAAGACAAAATCTAAACGAGAAAAAAAATATGAAAATGAAATATACAATTCAATAATATTTTGACTCAGTCAAATTTGAATATTTATCGGATAAATATGCTCTGCCGTAACACGATAAAAGAAATCTATCTGCTACCTTCTGTGATGGACAAAACAAGTCGAACAATTAAATTATAATCTTTTCTGATTTTTTTGAAATTAATTTATCGATCTACTTTATACGTTACTAAGACTGATTCTTTCGTGCTATAGCAAGCCATCCGGGCTCGAAACGGTTCAAATTTTTCTTCATATGACCCATGCTTCAGCAACTATTGTTGGTCATCGTCCGTCAACCCACATTTTAGTCTGCTGGACCAACATTTTCCCTCATTCCGTCTAGTTCAACCCGAGATGATCACCCACTTATTTTATTCTTGATCAGAGATGCAGTATTACTAGGGCACAAGAACTGTTAAATCACACTTGTATTTCAATAAGTTTTGGATCTGAGTAGGCATGCACCGGTATTTACCGTTTGCGATTCCGTACATGTTTCAAAAAAATCTTTTGTAGCACAAAACAAGCTTTCAGCAACAACTACATTTTGTAGAGCAAACATTTCTCTATAAAATTAGATATGACAGTACTTTTGTCTTCATTCAGTAGTTAGATAATAAAGAATTATCAAATGTGCTCACGCCCGGTATTGACACCATTACTGGTTAACACCGATTTTAGCTCTTTATCAAGAAGCGATTATGAGAAAAAGAAAAGAAACGAAGAGTTTCGCCATGTCTCATTCTGTAGAAAAATGTTTGCTGTACAAAATAAGTCATAAAAATACTCTACTATACTGTTTTTTATAATCAATCTGCTTGAGAAAAACGATAAAATACCGGTATATGCCTAGATCTGAGTACAACTGTACTGGATGTTCGAATTTAAGAGTCCCATCAGGAACTTTTCATCTTACATCCGGTTTTGATGAAACTTTCCATAAATGTTGATCAGCTAAAGGTGTGATGATGAAATTTTTACCTTACTATCTCTTACCAATCAGAAGTTTTTCGGAGTTCAAGATCAAAAACCCCTTTCACTGTGCGACACTTCTTTTTCATATGCTTCAAATTAGAGATCTCGAGTTGGTTTTATTTCAGACTAGATATCTAGCTACGTGGGCTAATGGGATCAGATCTTTTAATTCAGTCTTTGTTGGTTTTCTAGAGATCTAACCTTTTAAGTTTTCCAGAGGTACTTGATTTACTAAACAACTAAAACCTAATTCAAAAATGGATTCCCATCAGCCCACGTAGAATGTTTGCTATTTCAATGAAAAAAAAACCATCTCTCTACGATGAACCATTATCAAAAAAAAGATGCCGCACACTGGGCGTGTCTGGACAAAAAAGGGTGCTCTAAGCAAAAACGAAAAACAAGTTTTTTGATATATTTTATTAATGTAATACGTGTATTCGATATGAAACACAAACGTATTGTATATGAATCGAAAGTACGCATCGTGCTGCTTCCCCAAGTACTTTCGATTCATATACAATACGTTTGTGTCTCATGTCGAATACACGTATTAGCTTGAAAAAATGTGTTTTCCTATGAGGACCTCCAGAAAACTTTTCAGAAACTATCAGTACAAGGTTAAATCATATAGATTCTGAAAGTAAACACTTCAGGCTATGTCTCCGAGTGCTCATCTCAGAATGGATTTTTTTTTCATTTCTGAGGGGCCCCTTAAAAAAAAGAAAGACAAGGAATGTGTGTACATGAGTTTTACTTGTTAGAACCCAACATGTTAAACAAGTAGAAACAACGGAAATATGATAGTTGTTGTTGTTGTTTCTAAGTACAGGACCGGAAGTGATAAAAATAAATAATCCGATCGTTATCCAACTTATTTTCTAAAGTGAAGTTTTTGTCCAATCACTAAATCTATTATTTATTTATCGCTGGAAAGCGATATCTTTTGATTAAAAGGGCAAATTTTTCAACAAATAGAGATGGTTCGGATGTCTATGAATTTAGAAATATTTATGCGCATTAGTCCAGTCTTTGGTCCGACCTGACTCTGTCCGACATGGATTTCGTTGATCCAGCCCATATTTTGTGAGTCAGGCTGACAGACGGGTAAACTGACACGTTTCGAGCCCTTCAAGCCACTAAGTCTAACAGCAAGCAATAGATGTCAACGTACTTTTTAAATTCTTCAATTTCCCTATCGAATAAATCCATTTCATTAGAAGCGCCATCAACACGAGGCATAAATACATCTTCTAAAGAATAATTCAAGTATAAATACCTTTTACATTAACCATATATTCTCTACACTTACCATCGTTCATATTGTTTTCTTGAAATAATTCTTGTTTAGTCCCCATCGTTCGCCTATATTGCTGTTGTTGCTGTTCTTGATCATATCGTTGAGAATCTAAATATAGTGCTGTAGGATTCTGAATTCCACTTGCAAATGGGTGATATGCAGGATACGACGACGACAATGGTTGTATTGTCGACTGTGATTGTTGCTGATATTTCCATTGTTCTTGTTTATGATTCCATTGGGGAAATGGAGATGGTGGATGATCATTCATCTGAGCATAATTCATTGGAGAATAGAAAGGATAAGATAAAGTGGAAGATGGCTGAGGACTTGTTATTTGTTTATGTGGAAAAGGATTCGGAGAGGCACTTGAATTTGGACGTTGGATACAACGATTGATTAATGATGTGGAAGATGATGATTGAGATGAAATTGGTGTGCCTAAATGCGAGAGATGAAAACTTTTCCTGTGATTCCATCTTTAGACTAACTTTTTAGGATAAAAGAAAACTAAATGTTTTCGATAGTGAAAGAGTGGGTTATGAGTGTGTTGTTCTGTCTTACCCGGAGCTGGTGAAAATGTTTGTTGTTGGGTTTGTGACATTTGCTGTTGGTATAAAGACGTTGGTGTAGGTATTGTAAGTTGAGCTGGGGTCAATTGTGGTTGTGGACGTTGAATTATTTTACTCGAATCGATAGATGACGAATACTGCTGTTGAGGCGATTTATGAATGATTTGTTGTTGAGATTGAATAATATCCTGATGGTCGATAATTGTCCAGTATGGTGGATCTTGTTCAATAAGAGAAGATTCTTCCATCAATGATGGAACAGTTGTTTGAGTAGAAGTAAGAGGAATAGGAACTGGGGCTTGTTGTAACGGGATATGAACAAAATTCGAAGATGGTGATGGTGAGATACTCGAATTTCTTATAACATACTCTGATATATTTACTAAAATAAGAAAGTCATATTCTACAAACAACCAAGATTAATAATAATACGATGCGTTCTATACTAACCAACATAAAAGCTGATAACCTAATACATGCGTCATTTGTCAATCATGGCTCTATGGCAAAAATGACGTTTTTTAGCATCTGTTTCTCAACATCCTGACTCGGCTATTTAAATCTTTCCTATCTGTAAGTATTGATTATTCAAATTTCATACTACGAAAGTTACTTTTTTTGATAATCTGCCAATATCTTACCTTGTGATGTTGGTTGAGATATCTGTTGCTGTTGCGAATGTTGTTCATGCTCATTCCAAGATGAATTATAAATAGATGATATGTCATTATGATTTGTCTCTATATTATTATCTTCCAAATTAGTTTGTGATAGTTGACTTTGATATCTTGTTTGATGTGATGCATGATTTTTCAGCAAATTTTGTAGACGAGGCGGAGGCGGAGCAGTCATATACCTTAAACTATTATAATATGTCGAGTCACTAATTTGAGATGTTGAAGAATGCTGCTGATTCTGTTGATCTTTTTGAGCCTGTTGATAATAATTATTTGATGTATGTAATTTAGACGATGAGCCCGTAGTGGTTGTGGACGAGGATTTTGTTAATACAGACGGTTTCGAACTACAAATTGTTTTATTACCACTTGGATTTAACAGACGTTTACTATTCGTTGTGTTAGAGTTGTTTGAATTTGAATAAATATGTTGAGATTGATAATAAGTGGGTTTTTGAATAATCGCTGATTGAACGGTTGATTCTAAAAAACATTAAAAAAACTGCGTATATCGTGAGAAAAAATATAGGCAACACAAGTTTCTAACGATTTTATTTCGAATAAACCTATGCCAGTTCTGTTTCAAATCTTGCTACTATCCGTTCTTTTGAAGTTCAGATTTTGGTCTTTCGAACAAAAAAAGTTTTTAGTATGTACCGTATCGACTTTCATCCAAAGACTTTTGCATCAGCCATTATAAACCATCTCTAGTGTATCATATTAAGCCTTTTCTAAAAGTTTCACATACTTTGGATGAAAAGCAACGCCGCAGTAAATCTTTTAATTTTACACAGTAATTGGCCCAAAACCTGACTTTTTAAAAAAACTCATTATCCAGAGTTATTCCACGTCCAACAACAAAACAAACATTGCTACAAGATTCACAAGGATCGACTGTCTATATACGATGTGTTTTTGAGATTACTGGTCCAAAGGAAGACCCGGCCCTGACGGAAAAACCGTGTTTCCGAACGAACGATGGTTTTTGAATGTGTCGCTTAGATCTCATTTTGTAGAAGACGCTTTGGACTGTCTATCGATGAAGAAAAATCGATAGGTTGCTATATCTTTCTGCAGAAACCCGAGCTGGTTTTTCAAAAATTCCCTAGAAAACCGGCCTTTGAAATTTTTGTTGAAAATATTTTTGTTTAGAAAAACATGACTAAAGGTCTTGGCTATCGGTTAGTGAAAACCGAAAGTCTCTACCACTTTACTTCCTGAGTTATTCAAAAAACAACCGAGTAGACTGTATTTTGAAATGGATAGTAGTATTCGGCATACCTTGTGTAGTTGTTGAACTGGTTGGTTTATGTTTACTTTGTTTCCTTGATATAGTTATCCAGTTGACTTCTTCTTCCGGAGATAGTTGTGGATGCTCTTCAATCACATATGATGATTGTTGTGATGATACGTCTTGTTGCGATGGTGTTGTTACTGGAGGTGAGAGTCTAGAACGATCTTCAATCAATATATCTGATTGTTGTGGTTCAGACGTGACTGTTGATATTTTCTTTTTCTGTTCTTTTTTCGTCAGTTTATCTGGCCTTACAATGGTAGTAATTATTTCAGACGTTGTTCCATTTACCATTTTAGACTGTTTAAGTGGTTCTTCGGTTTTTGTAGCCGTTGTTTCATTTTGTTGTGGTTTTTTAGTACGTTTCTTTTTGGAAGTTGTTGATGCTTGGTCAGCTTCAGTTCCATCACCTTTTGTACTTATTATCGGCGATTGAACAGTAGTAGTGGAAGAATTTCTTTCGTGCGCCAATGTTTGTAGCGGTTGACTGAAAAAAACAAATAAACATGAGTGAATTTTTCTACTTCAACGCATTCCAGACCTAAAGTTATCCTTTTAGTATGTACTTTGTAAACACATTGCTGAATAATATAGTATACTGACAAAGAAATATGGCTTTCTTGAACATATATTATTTACCTTGTGATTTGTAGATTTGCTTGGGGTTTTGCTATTATTTTAATTTGTTGTTCATCAGTGATAGTTTTGTTTATTTTTAATTTTTCATTTCCTGTATCTTCCACAGTTGTTGTTGCCACTTTTTGTTGTTGTTGTTTTTTCTTTTTTGATTTTTTCTTAGATCCAGAATTAGTGGTCGTACTAGCTGTTGCCGGTGCGTTCGTTGTTGTTGATTGTTCATTTTTGTCCTCAATAAATCGTACCAGTTCTTCGATTTCAGTTTTCTCATTTTTAGGAGCTATCTGAGTTGTAGTAGTGGTCAACACTTGAGTCGAAGCAGTAGCAGAAGAGGGCGCTGTTTTTATATTAGCTGTTGGCACAGAAGCTCGAGTTTGTGTCTGAGAATTTGTTTTTAGTGTGGCTAACGAAGAATTAGCTGAAACAGGAGTATTGTTGTTACTGATTACTTTTTTTGTATCAATTATTCCACAATTTATTGCATGTGTCACTGGTGTCGATGGTGTACCGTGAGAAGTTTTTGGCGCTAACGATGAATTATTCGTCGGAGCTTAAACAAAACAAGAAAATATTTCCATAAATCTAAGAAGAACATAAAACAATCTAAACATTGCGGAAAGTTGAGAAAAGAACAAATTTAAATTTTCAAAAACACAGACTCATTCACCATCATATTCATACGACACTTTTCATAGTTTTTTCTGTGGATAAAATAAACTTTGCTATAGCTCGAGTTTCTATAGAAAATCGAGGAAAAATGCATTTATCCCTCCTTCCGTTTGTATACTATTGGAAACCTAAAATATTTTGCATGAAACTTAGTACATTTTATTTATTACCTTTCTCGACAAGTATTATTATTAAAGAGAGACATCCTCGCAAGTTTTAAGTAATTTCAATGATGAAGAGAATTTCAATATGTACCTGTTGCCATCGTAGTTGTTGGTTTTATAACTGTGCCCGTTTGCTTTACATTAATATTCGTATTTGCGTTTGTTGTATTATTATTTTTAACTTGATTTTGAGACAAAGACGTCGTCACTAACGAAGTACTACTATTCCCTTGCGTTGCTAACATGTCGTTTGTTTGCGCTGCTGTTACGTGCACATTCTTTTTTTCGGTATCTTTCATTTGTGTTTTTTGTTGATGAGTACATACAGGTACCTGCTGTTGCTCATTGATCACAGTATCAGTTATTTTTTTCCCACCGGATAGTACCGTGGTTGCTTGACAACATGGCGTAGTCGAAGTAGTTGACGTTGAATCAGTTTGTGATGCTTGTACTCGACGTTTTGTTAGTCTTATTCGTAACTTTTCTCGAATTTCTGCGTTACGTTGACTCGAACTACCACCAATCGATGCACACACAGTGCCACTACCCGTTAAATGAATGGCTGATGTTCCTCCATTTGGACCAATATGTTCGAGAAATTCACAATAACAAAAGTCACAATGTTTTTGAATATTATTATTTGCGTCATCTATATCTGTGTCTTTTGTTATTGATGTTTTATGTTGTTGAATAAGTGCTGGAATCGTTGGCGGTGTCGATGTACATGGTGAACGTTTTTCTTGATCTTGTTTTTGTGATGCAACTGTCTGACAAGGCAATGGCAACGAGGATGTTGTATGTGACGATGTTAATTGTTCGATGGATTGTGGTGAGCGTAGTGAAGCTAATAAGGAATGAAGAGCCGATTCACTAACTTCAATTGATGAAGCTGCATGACGTAATAGATGATCTAACGTTTCAGTGTAAGAAGAAGGTGAAGATGAGATACTCTCTTTTGATGGATTTGTAGTTGAAGATTGAGATGAAGAACAGGAGATAGAAGGTAAACCAGTCGAACCCGATACTGAAAATATTAAATAGACAATCATATCAGTCTATATTTAATAGTAAATGAATATATATTGACAATATTCGCAGCACATATAGATCTGATACACTTTTCTTTGTTAAATAATTGATCCTTCGGCGAATTTCGAATGTTTCTAACGGACAACAATTCTGACTATTCATATCTGATGAGTTAGCCGAAAAGCTGCTCTACTTCAACAAGAGTGTTTTGGAAGTATTTTTGATAGAAAATAAAATTTGATGTCTTCTATCGTTGAGACATAATAAAAAATTAGGATTTCTTTCTTGTTCCCATGCCCAAAATTCTAGTTCGGAAAACTGAAAATTTTTCACTTTTTGTCGTGTAGTTAAAGCAAGAATCGATCCGGAGCATAATCATAAATACAATTTTGTACTCTGGATGTTTTTCTTTCATGCGCGTATCGAATGGCACGTTACGTTCAGAAGAAAATAAAAAATATTGATCTCAGTGTAGAATCTCTCTCAAATTGTTTTACGACTAGTATAACGGTCAATTGATATGAGAAAAAAATTCTCGCACGTAGATACATTTCACATTGGGATAATATGACTGAAGTGATTTGAGTAGTCGCAACAGTTTTTAGCTAGAAGAAGTGAATATGGAGAGCACATTATTCGATAAAGTTTTTCAAGAACTCAGTCTGACTTAGAAATGATTTCTGAACTAAATCAGATGTTCTCGGATTATCCATAACCTTTCTACGGCGACATACATTCAGTTTACAAAAAGTCCCAAAGGGATTGCTACTTGTTGTTTTTCTGAAATGTTCGACAACTCGATTGCTTGGAGACTTTTTGTAAACTGAATGGAGATCGATGTAGAAAGATCAGGGATAGTTCAAGAATTTAGTTCAGGAATCATTTCTAACTTAGACTGAGTTCTTGAAAAACTTTATCGAATAATGTGCTCTCCATATTCACTTCTTCTGACTAAAAACTTTTGCTACTACTCAAATCACTTTTCGAATTTCTTTCATTTATGTAGAATGAGACAACAAAATCGAAAATACGGATGCTCTCAGCTTTGGTTTCCCACTTTAGAACAAAAACGACATACACTACATTTAGATAAGAAGGATAAAATTCTCAAATCTTTGCCAATTGAAGAACACTATCGCAGTCATATAATATGAAAAATCAATCTCTTGAACAATTGAAAAAGAAGAAAGAGAATCATGTTCATGAAGATACAAACGCGAAAGTAAAAAGAAAGAACAAAGATAGATATATGTGTGCATGTTTAATTCTTTGAGATAGAAAAAACGGAAAAGAGAAAGAGATAAAAGATTCAATAATTTTTTGGCAACGTTGAATATTCGTTTTATTATCTTTCTTCTTTATCTTCATCATCGTATCTCATTTTGAAAAATTATATAAAAGTTAGCGAGGAAATAAAAGAAAAACATGGTATAATTAACCAAAACACACGTATATAGATATACACATTCCACTTAGCTCTTCTAAATGTAAGTACAGAAATAAATTTTTTAATGTGATACAATGGTAAAGAATACTATTTTTTTCCACAAGTTGAACTGTGTATAATCTTGAAAAATCGTGTTTGATAACATATACGTGAATGTTACCAAACGATTTCACAGCCATCAGCTGTTTTTCTGCTAATTTCAGGTAATCTTAATAGCATTGGGAGAAAAGAAATTTTCTTCTGTTAATTAATGTTTATATCAGAGGTATATATGCGACGAGATTTTTTACATTATCATGAAACAAATCTTTTTGAGAATGTTTATCCCTTTTGTTGATTTGTTTTATGAACAATCTCTTCAAACTGTCATGCTTCTTAGTTTATGACCAATATGTTTGATTTTAATGTGTTATATTTAGATACACATTTCAGACATTCAACGTGTGCAGAACAAAAATAATGTTTATTATAAAAACTCATGCTGTCATGCGAATGAATAGAACGTAATGGATGACAAAGTAATTTAGGTTAGAAACTGCGTAATATTTTTTTTTTGTTCATAATTAAATATTATATTAATTGATCATGAACGAACATCTGAACCATTTTTTTAACGTAAAACATCATCGCCGGTGTTTTAAAGTTATTTTTGCTCTTATGCGTAAGTTAACTGTACGTTTCTAATCACAAGGTAAAAAAAACAACGACCGTAACATATTTTTATGACGTTTTGTTTATATCAAAAACGAAAAGAAACTTGTAAAATTCATCAAAAAACGTATCTATGCTTTAGATTGTTGAGAAAGCAGAATATTTAGAAACTCACCAATGAGTGATGTTTGTGAAGACCCCCCATTCATTTGTCCACAACTGATCGCTGATGTAGTCGTTGTCGTTGTATGTTTCGATTGTTTTTTCTTGAATTGAGCATCTTTTTTCCTTATCTGTGTCACCTGACTATCATGTTTATGGGTCTGTGTTTGTTCATCACCACTTGTATTTCCAGTTAATTCACTAATAATAGCTGCTATACAATTTGAATTTTTATTATTTCCTGACGAAGATAATGAATTAATTCCACCCGAAGTTGGCTTTCGTGTCAAATTTATACTTAAACGAGTTGCACTTTGGGTTGTTGTGGCCGTTAGGTTATCTGTAGTTGTTACGCCACCTGAGATTTTCTTTGATGAGCATGTAGAGGATGTAGAGGAGGAAGATGAAGAGCACGAGGAATTTGTTATTGAACCAAATGTACCAGCTAAAACAAGAGAAAAATTATATTTTGTGAGTAAAGAAAACGACCAAAACCGATAAGAACATTAGACGCTTAGGACACAAGTTGTATGAGATATTTACCTTCAAAATAAAAAGGTAATCAATGGTGACACGCTTATAAAAATTTCTCCTTTGCTTTGAACTCAAATTTTCAAATCTACAACTATAAGATATCGCAATGAAGGATATATTAGACTCTTTTAACTAAACTCCAAGACCAATCGTTATTGCTTACCTGTAAATGAGACAGATTGAAATTGTGCTGTTAAATCTGCTAATGAAAAGGGTGTTCGTGGAGGGAGAATGAGTTCGTCTTTTGTTAATAAACCTAAATTTGATAATGTTGTCCCCGATGAAGAATTTGCTCTGCCACATTGGAATCTAGGAGGTTGTTTTATTGACGCAGCTGGTAAAAATTTTAATAAATCACATTTTGCTTTTGCTGTATCACTAGTTGACGCTGTTACTGTTGTTACGGACGTTTTATTTTTTCGTTTTGATTTTTTATTTGATGATGGAAGTTTTGTTAAACTATTAACTATCAGATCAGAGGAAGCAGTTGACAACGTTTTCTCAGATGTAGTTGATTTTTTATCAGTAATATCCGTGAATACAACTGCAGCAGATGGTACAGAAGTAATGGGTAATGTTAAGGCAAATTTTGCTTGTTGAGAGATAGCTAAATGGAAAAGAAAAACTTAAGCGACACGTACTTATTAAAGAGAGTAAAAAGAACCTTCTTCAGTTCCCAAATGGTTGATGACATTTCCATTATTTTCCATAAAGACTAATAAAATAGTCTTTGAAAAATTTTGTTTAAACGAAAGGGCAAAAAATCAAATCGAAAATACTACTGTTACATTTACTGAGTTTTTTAACTTACATTTTGTATCTTGATCTATTTGTTTGTTGCCGTATAATTTGGGTATTTCGTGCATTTCTCCAATCTTCGCGTTTTCTTCATTTTTCTCCTTGTTTTTAATCCATTGCTGAAAGCCTTTGGCTTCATTCAATTCTTGTAACCAGTCTGTACCATCTTTACTTCCATGGTCATTGTCTTCGCATGCTTCTTCCAGTAAATCCTCCCCTTCATCTTCATCTATCTCATCCTCTAGATCTTCGTCGTCCAAACCCTAAAATTGTAGTCCACCGTTATACGTTAAGCTAGTGACAAGTGAATTTGCTCCTAAAAAAATTGAACTAACCTCTTCATCAGCTTCTTCACCTTGATCTAAATCTTCCAAATCATCAATTGTATAACTTCGAGTATCATCCGTTGAATTATCATCCCTTACGTCATTCAAATTACGTTTGTCTAATATAATCGAAGATGGTCTAAAACAAGTAAAAGGCTCAAGTTTCTTCCCATATCATAAATACGTTAACTTGGAATATTCCTCTCTCCAACGATTTCTCTAGTAGACAGGCTGGATAGTTTTTCAGTTTGATACGCCAGAATTCACAATTGATTTGGGAAGAAAATAGTATTTCAGACAGGAGCGTCCTTGTAACATTTATCTACTCTCTAGTAAATGAAACCTAGATAAATCACTGCCACTTTTCTACGATGGTCAAAATTTTGAACCCTAATTTGTTTAAATAACACTTTACAAATAGATATCTTAGAACAGAATAATTCTAAAGATCAGAAAGTAAGAATATCTTCAGTTTTGTAAGCAAAAATAAAATAAGGCTGCTCTATCCATTTAAAAAGAACGGTGATAAATAGTGTTATAATAATGCTAGAGAAAATAACGGTGAAGACTCGCGGTGTTCGCCATTATGTACTCGAGATCACATCATCTTATACAAAAATGAAGTTTAAAGCATCTTTCGATGGTGTATGTCATGAATTTTTCAAAGACAGCATTATTTATTCATGAAGATAAAATGGACTTTCCATTTTTATATATAAATTAAAACCACTAGACTTTTTAGTGAAAATAAGCGATGTTTGCCATTAATGCATGGAACATTTTAGTTAAAATTTTGTGTAGTCCCCGGAAAAAATGCAACAGGTTGACAGAAAATTTGTGGAAAACTTTGTAAACTTACAATTATAATAGAAGGTGATTTAGTGAGGGCTTGGTCACACAATGGCAAGAGCCACAAATCTCCTAAACGTTATTCAAAAACATTCACTACCATTCTATTTTAAAAAATGGATAGTGATCTCAAACAAATAGTATTCTCATATTTACCCATTTTTCTCCACCTCCACTTGTTTCGTCTGTTCATTTATAGTCTTCTCCTTATTTGGATCCGTATTTTGTCTTTTGCGTTTTGTTCCACTACTAACTGTCAACGGTGCTACTAATCCTTTCGATATCTGTTGTTTTTCTTTTCCTTTAGTACACGTATTACCATTTATCATCGTTGTGCCTGCTTGATGATGTTGTTTTTTCTTTTGTTGTACTTTCTGAATCATTTCTTCTTTTCGTTTCATATTTATTTTCGTTTCACATTCTTTATATAAACACGCTATTTCAGACATTTCTTCATCAAATGCCAAAAAGCGATTTAACAATAAAGTATATTCGGCTGGCGGATATTCATCGTGTTCATTTGGTTGTAATAGATCGATAATAGTTGACATTGAATGTTGAATTTTACGATCCATATAAATGAGTTTTTCATATAAATGTTTGTTGTACAATATCCATGTTAAATAAAACTCTTTCAGATAATGCTCTTCCTAGACAAAAAACAAGCAAACACTTAGGAAAGTAATTTCTATGAGTCAATCATCAACGATTTTTATAGAACTCTACAATAATTTCGAAGAAAATTGAAGAGTTTTATGTTTATATAGCGGGAAACTATGAAATTTTGCCTCTTTATTACTAGATTTGCTTTTTTCTTTAATTTCATGTACGGACAGTTGTTGGACGTTAAAAACGGACGTAACCCGACAGCACAGCTTTTCATGGCTTTATTCAACATCACTTTTCTTTCATTCAATATGCAGGTGAACAAAAAAGTGTGACCATGTAAAAGAAACATACGGTATCTTTTAAGTCTCTTGTAATGTCCAACAAGAGGAAATGAATTATTGAATATGTCTTTATTTTGTGAGACCCTTTACATATTATTTCGAAAGAATAGAAGAATTAAAGTTTCTACTGAGGTAAGAGATCATATGGGAACTTATAGCAGCTTTTGATACTATCAATCCCTTGGCGGATAGACGCCCATACAAATGATAGGAAGCGTAGTAATCTTGTATCATTTTCAAGACGTATCACATTACTTTTCTTAGTATTAGTTACGGCCTATTCTGGGAAAATTTTCACAGTGAAATATTTTTCTACGATAAACGTTCTCGAATTTTTTAGGTAAATCAAATACGACGTACTAGATCGGCAACAATTGCTGAAACATTTTCAGCTGCTTGGATGAATGTTGAGTATTCCTCTAGTAAAAATGATATAAATAACTGAACGTCATGAGATGTTTTTGAACATGTTTGAAATCGTTTTAAAACTTGATTACGAATTTCATCTACATATTCTAATACAATCGATTCTAATTTAGAAAATAATGAAGATGGATTATACAATGTTAAACGCATTACATATTCACGAGCTTTGAATAATTCATTTTGAGAATGAGTTTCTAAAACACAAAAAACACATAACAACGAACAATATTACAGACATCATTCGAAAATTGTAAGGTTTTTTTATAAAAGAACCTACCTACTATCACCTAACGTTTCTAATAAACTAAAGCCAATCTTTACTTTCGTGAATAAGAAAGTGATCTATCCTCAATGAGCGTTTCAATTTAATTGAAACGCTCATTGAGAACTTGTAATACAAGTTATATTTACCAGCGAATTCTGCTCCTGTCTCTCTATAAATACATTTAACAAGATGTGCAACGTAATGCCATAACTGTTGAATTCCATTTGAAATTTGTTCAACATCATTTTCATTCTCAAGAGAAGAAGAAGATGTGACTGTTCCATCTTGTGGAAATTGTAACTGTTGTTGACTACATGATGCGCACCAACATGTCTGTTGAGTGGATTTATTCCTATTTGAATTCGTTGGAATCATGGATAGACTAACTGAATTGTCACCGAAATCATCATCATCCGTTCGACTAATAATCGTCGGATGTAGTTCATCTCGATTGTCATGCTCATCTGTATTCATTATCATCGGATCCGTCACCTATAGTAAAAAAGAAAAGACGGAGAGAAATTAGAATTATTCTAAATCGATTACTACTAAACATCTTCAGGGAACTACAAAACTTCTGTTGGGCTCTAAGAGAAATTCTATGAAAATAGACGCTTCAAAAACATAAATTAAGACCTTTGTGTAAATTAATAGCAGTTCAAACATCAAGAACGGACTGCTGATATAGATAGCTGTGAATAGTTATAGTGATTGAGAAACAGGCTCTTTCGAAAGTAATCGAAGAGTAAAACTGTCAACTGTGTTTTGTATTCAGTTACATACTTTCATTTTATTATTTTCTTCCTCATTTAACATTTTCTGTTCACATTCTGGACATGTCCATAAAGGAAGCTAAAAAAGACAAAAATTACCATACTA